TACACGGTACCCAGCTGGGACGAGAGTGGTAGCAGGGTTGGGTGGGGCCAGCCTTGGCCGGCTCGATCCAGAGTGGCCAGCCAGCACAGCGGGCCCCAGGGGTCCCACAGGCCCCACAGAAACAGCTTCATAGGCCCGTGACACTTGTCCTGTGTTTGGGGGCTGGCTTGCTGCCCCTGTCCCCCCCCCCCCAGGTGTCACATTCCTGCATCAACAGGAAGCCAGTTCAGCCTCTTTTCACTCAGCAGGATGAAAACTAGGTTCCAGCTATGGACCCTGAGATGAGACCTGGAGCCTCAGTTTCCCCATCTGTAAGATGGACCATGACTGTTTCTTACAGCCTGGTGGCTATCGGCTGGAGGGCCTGTCCAGCTGTGGGCAGTGGTAGTAATACTTGGCTTTCATACCCAGCCCTGAACCTCTCATGGGGGCCCTTTACCTAACCTGACAGGCTCACACCTATAATTCTAACTGCTATAACTGCTCAGGAGGCTGAGATCTGAGGATCTCAGTTCGAAGCCAGTCTGGGCAGGAAAATTAGTGAGACTCTTCTGTCTGATTAACCAGCATAGAGCACCAACCTTGAGCAAAAAGTCAAGTACAAGGCTGGCTGGGTGCTGGTGTCGCATGCATGTAATCTTAGCTACTAAAGAAGCTGAGATCTGAGGATCACGGTTCAAAACCAGCCTGGGCAGGAAAAATCCGTGAGACTCTTATCTCCAATAAACCCACTCAGAAAACCAGAAGTGGCGCTGTGGCTCAAGTGATAGAGTACTCGCTTTGAGCTGAAGACCTGAGGGACAGCGCCCAGGCTCAGAGTTCAAGCCCCACGACCGACCAACAATAACAACAAAAAAAGTACAAGGCTCTGTCAAGCCCCAGAACCGGTGCACGCATGCTCGCGCGCGCGCATGCACACACATATACACACACACACACACCCCTCCCTGGTGGGTCCCCCACTTCACCTGGCCCATCAGCTGTCCCTGATGGGACACTGAACTGTCCCATAGGGGCCAATTTAGCTGTCTTTAATGAGGAGCCTGCAGACAGGTGCTCATCCACCCACTGAGGCTCACAGGCTTTCCTGCTTCAAGTCACCCCACTGGGAAGCAGTGTCCAATCTCTTGACTCTGTTTAGGACAGGTAAGAGCGACACTGCCCAGATAGCAGTGGAACTGTGGCTTCCTGCCTGTCACCCGTGCCAGGCTCTAGGTGGGGGAAAGCATGTGGCTGGAGGCCTGCAGCCCTCTGAAGTCCAGGCTGATGGGGCCCTGGCCATGCTGGGAGAGTGGAGCAGGTGGGAACTGGAGAGGAAGCATCCAGAAGGAGCCCTGTTGGCTGCCCCAAGCATCCCTGAGCCAGGCACCTGAGCTTCCCTGCTCCAGCCCCCAGGCCCCTGAGAGAGGCAGAGGGCCAGGTCAGCACCAGAGGCACTGGGAGGTTGTCTCCAGCAGTGTCTGTGAGGCCGGGCACCAGTGGCTCACGCCTATAATCCTAACCACTCAGGAGGAGGAGATTTGAGGATCTCGGTTCAAAGCCAGACCGGGCAGGAAAGTCTGTGAGACTCTTCCTTTTTTTTAATTCCCCCCTGGGCTCAAAGGGCAGCTCTCGGGTGGGCGGGGGTGGGGGAGGGTCTCAGGATGGGGAAAGGGCAACACAGGGGTGTGGAAACAGGTACAAAACACCACCTTGCTGTGGCTGTTGGTGTGTTCAAGCTCTCACTCAGAAGTGCAAAGGGCAGACTACAGATGCAGCCTCCTGGACAACAGTCTAGGGAAGCCCTTTGTGGGGCACTCCAGGTGGGGTTCACTCTCTCAGGAGAAGCAGGGTATGGAGGCTGCTCAGAAGACAGACTCCTGGTTTGAATTAGACCAAGTTTGGGATTTCTATTTGGGAATAGGAAGTAGACACCCTGCAAACTAACACTGGTTTGCCCCAGACCTCTACTTGCCAGTCTAGAAGATGGGGACACATTGGCCTTGGTGGGACATTGTCAGTAAGGTGGCCAGAGTTGGCATGGAAACTTCAAGAGGCCCAGGCAGACTGAAATTTCACATCAATAGTGGACTTTTTTCCTCCCAGCTGTGGGGCTTGAACTCTGGGCCTGGGCGCTGTCCCTCAGCTCTTCAGCTCAAAGCTAGTGCTCTACCACTTGAGCCACAGTGCCACTTCCAGTGGTTCAGGAGATAAAAAGAGTCTCAAGGACTTTCCTGCTCAGGCTGGCTTTGAACCGCAATCCTCAGATCTCAGCCTCCTGAGTAGCTAGGATTACAGGCATGAGCCACCAGTGCTCCACTTAGACTTTTTTTTTTAAGTATACCTGTGTTCCAAATGGGCTTATACCAAAAATGGCTCCATTTACCTGACATTCAAACTCAGTTGTGCATGCTTTGTCTTTGGGTAGGGCCAGAGCCTGGGGAATGCTGGGGGTTGTGGGTTGTCTTGCTCTGGTTGACCTGCCTGTTGGTGCTCTCTCCTCTAGGCCCCATCCCCAGTTCCCAGGGGGATGGACTGGCCCTGCAGTAGCCTCCGGCAGGGTCCTTGCTTACCTTCGCGGCACTTGCCACTGCCAAGCAGCAGGTGAGGCCCAAGACGGCCAGCTCCAGGCGCCCCATGGTGAGTGTCTGCCTCTGGGTGGCCTTCTTCAGTCGGGCCTCAGCTATTTATCGGGCTGGAGTCAAGGTCTTGCTCCTGCGCATGCGCACACACAGGCACAGGTGCAGGATGGCCCCGCATTCCCAAGGCAGGTTGCCCTCCAGGCATCCTGGTTGGTGCCCACAATGTACCTGTGCAGGTACAGCCTACCTGGGAGCGGAGTCAGATGGCACAGATGGTGGAGAGGGCTGCCAGGGCTGGGGACCTGGCCGTGTGCCCTGCATTTTGGCTGGTATGCCTCATCTCGGTTCCCTGCATGCCCCCACCTCATCAGGAGTGCATCTGGGTCAGAGGTGACTGCGTGTCAGCCCTGGCACAGCCGAGCCTTGGTACTTGGGCAGCTCTCACCTGGGCACCTGAGCCTACAACCTGGGCTGGGGACAGGGACGGGCCACGCCCAGGTCTGGAAGGGGAGGACGTGGTCCTAGACGGTGGGCAAGGGGGCCACCCAGCCTGGAGGGAGACCCTGAGGAATGTGATCATAGACAGGACCCTGGAGCCCCCCAGGCAGCCAGCCAGGCCGGGGAGAGAATGGAGCCCAGAGGTGAGGTCAGCACAAGGTCATCCTTTCTAATGGCATGGTGACAGACCGCCATGAGCTCCGTCTCAAGGTTTGAGTTGGGTTGCAAGTGAGGTCAGCTCCCAGTGCTCAGGGTGTCCTGCCCCCTGCACAGTCCCCTTCAGAGACTGGGACAGCAGGTGACCAGGCATAGCCATAGCCCTCCCAGACCAACAGCCTCTCTTTGGTCTTGGAGTCTGTGTCTCCAGCTCTGATCACTTCTGGCCCCTGGAGCTGTTGCCAGAGCTCTGAAAGGTCCCAGGGACCACATCTCCGGTGCATCTATTCATATGGCATCCAGCTGGCCCAGTGCACAGGGATTCGGTCACAGTGGGTGGACAGAGGTTGCACAGGCAAGGGAGGGATGAGGAGGGACGAGCAGGCAATGCACAACTAACTGGGACTTTTCCCATCGATTTGAATTCTAAGAACCAGTGCTAAAGGAAGTCATTCTGAATGGTTTGTATGTCGGGGGGCGGGGGGGCCACAGGGTTTTTGTTCAAGAATATTCTGTGTAGTGAGGAAGTACAGGGGAGAGCAGCACCATGCAACCCAAGGAAGCAAGTGGCCAAATACAGAATGAGGACGCTACAGGGTTCACTTCGTGGTTCTAGAGGCCCAAGTGCATGGTGCCACGCACCCAGCTCCCAGGTGCCTACCTCATGGTGAAGGCAAGAGAGACTCGCCTTGAACAAGAGATTTGTCTGATTCTGGCATTTTTTTGAGATAATCAGGGGACATGTGAATACTAAGAATTCCCTGGGTACTTTGTGGATTGGGTCAGTCAGCTTTATGTGCTAATTTGCCTGAAACATTCTATGTGGTCAGACTTATTCTGGATGTTTCTGTGCAGGTGATTTTTGGATGATGTTGATATTGAAACTAGTAGACATAGATATAGCAGCTTATCCTCCATGCGGGTGGGCCTTACCTGACCAGTTGCCGGACGGCACAGAACTGATGCCCTGAGCAGGAAGGATGTGTCAGAACACTGCCGCTGGGTGGAAGCTCTCTCATGGGTCTCCAGCCTGCTCCACTAGCCAACTTCAGACTGGCACCTCCACCCTGGGGGCTATTTGAAAAAGCTCTAGGTCTGCACACATACACACCTCATAGTATGCTTCCTTGGAGACTAGTGCTAGAGTCACAAGAGCGTTATGTAGTTCACATCAAGAAAAAGTTCTTATCCTAGCTACTCAAGAGGCTGAGATCTGAGGACTGGGGTTCAAAGCCAACCTAGGTAAAAATTCCTGGGATATTCTTTATCTCCAATTAACCGCTAAAAAAGCCAGAAGTGGAGCTATGGCTCAAAGTGGTAGAGTGCTAACTAACCTTGAGCAAGAATTGCTCAGGGACAGCGCCCAGGCCCTGAGTTCAAGGCCCACAACTGGGGGGAAAGAAAGAAAGAAAGAAAGAAAGAAAGAAAGAAAGAAAGAAAGAAAGAAAGAAAGAAAGAAAGAAAGAAAGAAAGAAAGAAAGAAAGAAAGAAAGAAAGAAAGAAAGAAAGAAGAAAGGAAGGAAGGAAGGAAGGAGGAAAGAAGGAAAGAAAGAGTTCTTGTTTCAGATAAGGAAGTATGGATTTCCTTAAAACAATTCCAGCAAAATAAGCACAAATGGAGAATGAAACAAAATCCTGGGGTTAGGGATGAGGAACAAACTTTGCATTTGACAAAACTCAAACTACTTCAGTCAGGTGATGGGTAAACGGGACCCATGGAATATCCAGCACTTGTGTGTGTGTGCGTGCGTGCGTGTGTGTGTGGTGGGGGCAGGAGGGAAATTCTTCATAATAAACCACCTTTATTTAAAAAGAGAATTGCCATTTTTTTGGAATTTGCGTAGACTTCAGGAAGCTCTTCTAGTCAGACCTAAGGCAGCATGGGCTGGCTGGGCTCGGCAGAGTAGGGCCTGGGAGGGGGCCCTGCCCCAGCACCTGCCTCAGATTTGTCCAGGGACCAGGAAGATGGGATGTCAGCAGTGGAAGCGGCCACAGCTGAGACATCCCCAGAGCAAGGCCAACAGCTCCAGCAGGAGGTCTTAGCAAGAAGGGGACTGGAAAGGAGGGGAGGGGAGTGCTTCTCCCCTGGCCTCTGGTGTGAGTGTTTTCTGCAGGACAGGGGACTGTAATTGCCAGCACAGCTGGTTCCAAGCCGGGCTCCTCATTAGGCTGCCAGTCCTGCCTTGAGAGGGGGCTTTCCAGGAATCTCATCAGCAGGCTGGGGCTGGCTTGAGGAAATTGGCTTTGGAAACAGTATGACTTGAGCTATCCTGTGGGCAGGGCAGGAAGCTTTCAGGGCGATCTCCCAGGAAGCAGGGCTGGCAGAGACCTCAGTCTCGGGCTCTTCCCAGCAAGCTGCGGGGCCATCAGTCTGTTTCCAGCGAACGCTGAAGAGACAGTTGTTGGAAATGGACTGGGCTGGCTTCCTCATCTCACCCAACTGGGGCAGGGCACAGGTACTACCAGCACAGACCTGGAGGAGTAAAGGAACAACGTGCTGTAAGGAAACCCCATGGCAAGAGGAGCCTCCCCTGGGCCCACTCTACACTGAGACCCACACACTGTAGGAACGCTGACTTGGTAGGATAGTTCCAGTTGGGCCTGGCTTTTGTCAAAGCTACTCCAAATGGATGGCATTTGGAGCTAAGGGCAGACTCCGTGACCACAGGGCTGGGCCCCATGAAGAGTGTCACTCTGGGGACAAGAGCCTGCTGAGCCATGGCCCCTGCTGCTTGGTCCCCAGCACCAGCGCAGCCCTCCACATGTGGGCTGGGTGGGGGCGCGTGGAGCCAGGGACATCTGACCACCCCGGCAGAGGGCGACAGCACCAGGTGCCAGGGGAACCTGCTTGCCCCGGCTCCCTGGTTAGGACTGGACACCAGGCTCACCGCTCAGCCTGGGGCCCAGGGCTTTGTCACACGTAGTCCAGAATCTCTGTCTCCATCTCATTCTCACTTCCGTCCGAGGGCTTGAAATCTTCCTCCTCTTCCTCTTCCTCTTCCTCCTCCTCCTCCTCCCCGGATTCAAACATCAGCTGCTCTTTTGCATGGTCAGCCTTGTCTGGGCTGGAGAAGAGAGCTGGGCCAGGAGGAAACAAGGTCCCATGGGTCCCAGAGCAGGCTTCCTGGGTGGCCCATACAGGCTCCTGGGCTCCTGGTGGCCAGTCTGCCATGACAGGTCCTGGGCTCCGTGGCAAGTATGGCAGGGGGCGGGGAGGGCGGGCGAGAGGAGGGAAGGAGAGGAAGGGGGAAGCTAACAGGTACCCCAGGGGATGCCAAGGCAGCCAGGTCTTCAGCTTTCTGAGAAGCCATGGGCAGCCTCAGGAAGCGATGGCCAGGCATGGTGGTTCACACCTCCAATCCCAGCACTTGGGAGACAGAGGCAAGAGGATCTACGGTTTGAGGCCAGCCTGGGATTCATACTAGACAACATCCTAGATCCTATCTCAAAAACCCCAAACCAAAAGGCTCTGGCCTGGCCAGTGCCACGCTGCCCTCTGGTCAAACCTGGGAAGGGCCTCCTACAAGGCCCCTTGCTCCCTGAGCCTCTCAGACCCTCAGCCCAGTAGTGCTCGCCCCACTTCCTGGCTGGCCAGGGCCTGGGGAATGCAGAGTGACAGGCCACAGCGCCTGCTCCCCCCGCCCCCGCCCCCTCTCCCCACCGTGGCCAGCTCCCCTAGTGGAAGCCTCAGGCTGCAGCTGCTCCCCCCTGCCCTCATCCTCCCCTACCCCCAGGGCCAAGTGCGGCAAGTGCTGCCCAGGAAGCCTCTGCGAGCCCTGGTGTATTAGGTCTGGCTCCTGGCAGGGGCGGGCATCTCTGGGCACAGGTCCAGCCCCCCCCTCCCCGCGCCGCAGCGGCCCTCACCCGGCCTCTTGGAGCGGATGGTCTGGCGGATCATGAGCGACATGGTGTCCCTCAGCTCATCGGTGGTCTTGGGGAGGCACCACCCGTCCCGCTCTGTGCACGTGCTCTCCTCCCCGTCGTTGCGGTGGATGATCTTCTGCAACCTGCAGGCAGGAGAGTCTGCGTGTTTCCCCTCCCACCCCCAAGGCGGGTCTCCACAAGGGGGATGGGGGGGCCAGGCTCCGGGTCTCCACAAGGGGGATGGGGGGGGCAGGCTCCGGGTCTCCACAAGGGGGATGGGGGGGTAGGCTCCCGAGTCCTGGGGTGGTCTCCACTCATAGCGGCCATGCTGCCTGCAGCAGAGGCAGCTGTGCTGAGAAACACACGTCCGAGAGCGATCTCTGAGGTGGGCATGGCCCCAGCTGCGGTGCAGTCCCTGACCTGTGTGGTCTCTGGACCCCCCAGTCTAGCACACAATGCTGGGTGTGGCCCGCGCACATCTGCCTGGCAAGCGCGTGGCTTTCCCCAGATTCCACACTCTGTCTCTCACTCATGCCGGTGCCCCACCCCCGCCGTTTCAAATGTCATTGAGACCAAGCAAGTAGGCCAGGGTTCTGGGGCACGAGGGAGTGGTGGAGGGCCACAGTGGTGGAGGGCCACAGGCTTCACAGCAAGATCATCCAGCGGTGGCAAAGCCAATGTGAAGCCGAGGGGCTGCAGGAAACTGTTCCTGTGCTATTTCCACGCACTGCCCAGCCCCATAGCCCCTCCACAGGCAGGGCCCCTCAAGTACATACCCCTCCACGTTCAAGTCGCATAACTGGTAGAACATCTGGCGATAGGGGGGCAAGGCTCCCTCCCGGAAGACATAGACCGAGTCCTGGGGAAGGGGGAGTGGGATGGTGAACACAGACCGGCCCAGCAGAGTTGGAGATGCCCACACCGCAGGCTTCCTGGGGGTCTCCATGGGGCTGGCTGGCCACCAAGACCAGGGTGGGCAGTAAGGCAGAGGCTGGGCAGCAGATGTGAAACACGGGTGCGGGAGGGCACACGTGGCAGCCAGGCCCTCGGGAGCCCTGGAGGCCTTGCTGACAGTGCAGAGCGGGCCTGCTGTCTGCGGTAGCTGCCTCCTTAGTCCTGGCCTGCTGCTACTAATGACCATCCTAGGCCCCTGCGTGCGGCAGGGAGGAAGGCAGAGACTGCTCAGGGTGGGCAGCTCAGGGACAGGTACAGTCCCTGGGGTAAAGACTGGCTCGAGGTGACAGTCACCCCCTCACTAGGAAGAGAGCTGGAGTCTGGGAGACCTGCGTAGGTTTCCTGGCGAGTCCAGGGCACGGATGGCGCTGAAGGACAAGTGTGTTAGGGGAGGGTCGCATCCTCACGGCTCATTCCTGCTATGCCCACAGGTCCCCGCAGGGCCTCCAGGCTGGGGGTCGTACCCCTGGGCCTCTCCCAGAACTATAGCTTGGACAGAGAACCAGCATGAGCGATTCTCGAATGTGCTAATTAACTCCTGTTGGGTAAAGGTAGTGGGAAGGCCCCAGTCTGCGCCCACACCCACGCCAGCCACAGCTGGGCCCCAGATGGTCTGGTTTAGCTCTGTGCTCCTGCATGTGCCCCATTCCCCCCATACATCAGCGGCTACAGGCGTCAGGGGGGCCCAGCTCTGGAGACTTGTCACCACCTTTCTACCCAGATGCCCTCAATTCCTCATGGCCCCACGTGGTTAGGTTCTTCCTCTTTGTAGAGGGTCCCAGGGTGGGAGTAGTGGAAAGACACTGGGTGGACAGAGCTGTCTCAAAGCCCAGCCCCGTGTCCACAGAGGGGCACCTCACCCCCACTCAGCCACACCCGCCCCCAGCCCGGCCCGAGGCACCCACCTTGAGCTTATACTTGTTGGAGGTCTGTTTCCGTGGGCCAGACACCCCCGACGGGCCCAGGCCCTGCTTCAGGTCGTGCATGGTGACAAGCTGGCTGGCTGCATGGGAGCAAAGCAGAACTGGCACCCGCCTGCCCGCCTGCCCCCTGCCTGCTGTGCTGCCAGGGGCAGTGGTGACCCCAGGCAGTGCCTCCCATCTTGCTGCCCCGGCCCACGTCCCTGGTAGTGGCCTGCCACTTACGCGTCTTCTTGACTGTGATGGGCAGGCTGTAGTTGTAGGTGCTGCGCTTTGCCTTGACAGGCATCTCGCTGCCGCCTGTAGTCAAGGGAGAACGTGCTAGAGGTGGCTGGCAGCCAGGAAGTTACCCTAAGGCAGGGTGGGGATGGCTGGCTTTCGAGCCGTGGAAGGTTGGTATAGACAGGAAAGTCATGTATGTCCCTCATTGGCTTCCCTAGGCCTCCTGCCTGTGTTGATAATTAAACACACTCGTGAATAACGTTATTGTCAGAAAGAAGGTTCCTTCCTCTTGCCTTAAGGCAGGACAAGGTTCCTGGTCCATCTCCTGGAAGAGGAGGCTGGGGAAAGGGCATTTCCCGCAGGGGCTGGCAAGAGGCTCCGTGTGGCCTCACAGAGGTCCTGGCTTAGCACTCCAGGCTTAGCCGGTCCAGGGCCCCGGGCCCCGGGCCCCAGGCCCCTGACTGTGGCTCAGAAACTGGATGTGGCTATGCTGCTGAGCCAGGCCTAGGTCTCCATTTCCTCACTACTGTGTCTCTCTTCTCACAGGCACGGGGAGACACTCTTCCTCTCTGTATGAACAGAGAGCAGGAGATGGGATGGGACAGAGAGAAAGAGAGAGAGAGAGAAAGAAAGAGAGAGAGAGAGAAAAGCGTCTTGTTTTTACCATATTTCATTCCACAGCGGATTCGGAAGTCAAGGACTTGGTAAATCTTGGCCTCGGAGTGTGTCCGGGGGTCATAGCCAAACCGGATCCACAGACTTCTCCAGGGGCCTGTTATCTGGGGACAGGAGAGGTACAAGTGTTGAGACCTGGCTTGGGTTTCCTGTGTGTTAAGGGGCTGACCTCTGCACAGAGGCAGCAAAGCCCCTGAGAGCTGGGAACACAGCTCTCAATTCCCACAGCGGGGCTTGGCCACCTTGGAAAAGCCAGCTGGCCTTTCAAATCAAAGCCTTGCTGTCCATGAGAGGGAAGTGGAGAGGAGGAGCCTGTCCCAAGGCCCCGCGCACATGGGGACTCTTGGGATGCTCCCTGTCCCAGGAAAGCATTTCTTTTTTTTTTTTTTTTTGGGGGGGGGGGGGTCTGGTTGTGAGGCCTGAACTCTGGGCCTGGGCGCTGTCCCTCAGCTCTTCAGCTCAAGGCTAGCACTCTACCACTTGAGCCACAGCGCCACTTCCGGCTTTTTTCTTTTTTCTTATGTGGTGCTGAGGAATCGAACCCAGGGCCTCAGGCATGCAAGGCAAGCGCTCTACCACTGAGCCACCTTCCCAGCCCCAGGAAAGCATTTCTAAAGGACTAAAAAGCCCTTAGCGGACAGAAGGCTGCTTTCCAGAGTCCATCACGTTCACTGTTCTGCAGACTCCCCATGCAGAGTATTAGGACCCTCTCCTCCCCTAACAACTGCCATCTCCACCCTCCAGACTGAAGCACAGGTGGACATGTCCCACTGAGGCACGAAGAACTAGGGTGTGAGGAGCTGTCACTAGAGGCCTGGGCTCTGTAGCACACAGCTGGGCCTCTGGTGGTTCTGCCACATGTTGCTCACTGCAGGAAGGAAGGACAGAGGGGCCGTACTGCCCAGTGCTGTCCAGGGTCCGGTTCTTACCAAGATCACCACCACAGGCCATTCTGCACCACACAATTCCCCTGAGGGAGGCCCTCCATCGTCAGGAGCGGGTGCACTGCGGCTGTGGGAAGCTGGGCAGTTCCAGCTGGCTCTTCAAGCCCTCTCAGGGCTACCTGTGGTGTCCTTCAGGGAGGGAGGGCCACACAGGTGGCACCGAGGTTGGCATGCCACAGCCAGCCACTCACCATGTAATAGGCCATGAAGGGAAGCAGGATCTTGAGCTTGTCAGGGTGGACGCTGATGTTGGCCTTGACAGCATTGCGTGACCAGATGGGACGGATGTCGAACAGCTGGGCAAAGTCAAGGGCAGAGGCTGAGATGGGCACCAGCAGCAACCTCCCCCCTCCCCCATGCCTTCCCAGCATGTCCGTTTTAGACAGGAAGTGTGGAGGCAGGCGCTCAACAAGCAGGCCCGGCCTCTGGAACGTACCGCACTTCCCTGCCCCCTGCCGTGCAGAGGTATGGATTGTGCCTTTCATGTGCCAAGTGAAAGTGGGGGGGAGTGGCGGGGGGCACGGGAGGTCCTGAGGTGACCACAAAGGTCATGGACATGCAAAGGCTGCTGGAGCCCAGCTCCACCTCCACATTTAGGTCACTGTCCAACAACATCCCCGTTTCTCTGCTACCCCAAAGAGACCAACAAAGAACTGAAGTATTTTCAACGTTAAGAATGCCTAGGTGATACTAACATGGTGCTAGTGGCATCTGGAGGTGGAAAATTCCCACATCCTAATGAAGTAGGCTTAACAAAGCCAGCACGGCCAACCCCACAGCAAGCTGGGAAGGAAGCAGCTGCGTAAACACTTGGTCAAGGCAAAGCAACATGGCCCAGCCGCGCTGGACAGGATGGGAGCCTCACCTTCCTCAGTTCCTCCTCTACCTTCTGGTCTATGGGGTTGGTGCAGGCCCTCCTCCACGTCTGCACCGCGGCCTCCAGAGGCTGCACAGGGACCTCAGCATCCTCAAAGTTGACAAAGATGGCATTGTGGGGGCGCCGGGCCCTACTCAGGCCGATCAGGTTTTCCCCTGTGATGGTGGGGTTGTTGTAGCCTTCCCTGGGGGCACAGAGAGATGCTGAGAGCAGGAGTGCCGAGGACCACCTGCAGAACAGGCCAGGCCAGTGCGCGGGGAGGCCAGCCGTGTGCCTTTGTCCTGGAGATCCGGTGAGGCCATGACCTCAGGGCTGCCTGGTGAAGGACCCCAGCTCTCAGGATGCCCACTGAGGACAAAGAGTGGGCTGCCACAGCCAATGGTGGCCTAGAGAAACTCTGGGCAAGGCCCAAGGTCCCAGAGACCACAGTGAGGGAAAGCGCGCCTCGAGCTAGTGGCCTTCCAACTGTAATAGCATCGAGTCCCGTCTGGCATCATCCAGCCAAAGCTGAACACAGCCTAAATATCCACTGGCTGGAAAGAGTGACATCAGTTTGGGCTGTGCATGCACGGTCAAGCTATGCCTACTGACGCTGACTTTTATGACTTATTTAACTGTCAGAGCAATCCTTCAAGAAAGGATTGTCTGAGGAAGTAACTAAAGCCATGGGAATCAGAAAACTTGCCCCAAGAGCATGTGACAAAGGACTCCCAGGCGACTCAAAGGAATCTGGCCACAACCAGACCTTAGTCACCTGGCCTGCACCTAGAAGAACATGGCTGTGGCTCAGAAGCAGCTTGACAACCAGGACCACTGAACCAATGGTATCATCAAAGCTCAGAGATGAATATGCAGTGTAAGAGTGATGCCACAGGAGCTGCAGCTGGGAGGTGATGAGTCGTGGGCGTTTGCCCACTGGAGCCCAGGACCACTTGCGTGGGGATGTGGATAAAGGACTAGGATGCACGCCTCACACGTGAATCCCTATACCTTTACCTTCGTTTGCTGTGAACACAGAACTGCTCAGAAAAACTAAAAGTTTTAAAACACACATGTTCACACATCAAGAATTCTAGCCAGCCACTGATGGTTCACACATCTGTAATCCTAGCTACTCAGGAGGCTGAGATCTGAGGATTGCAGCTCAAAGCCAGCCCAGGCAGACAAATCTAAGAGATTCCTGTCTCCAACTAACCAGCAAAAAACCATAAGTGGAGGTGTGGTTCAAGTGATAGAGTGCCAGACTTGAGCAAAAAAGCCAGTGCAAGGCGCTGAGTTCGAGCCCTAGTATTGACACACACACACAAACACACAAACACACACACAAATTCTAGAACTCCATGTATGTGTTGGCACAGATCACATGGGGGGTGGGGTGGGGTTCCTGAAAAACTTGCAGTGGTCACCCTCTTTAGAGGTATACATAAAAAACCTAGAGCTCCTCTGTTTCCTCCACACCCACTCTACCCAAGACAACATTTCCAACGTATTACACGATGTCCTGGACACCCTGCAATTTCATTCAGGTGATTTTTACCTTTTAAATTTGCCACCATTATCACCTACCCTCAGCCTCCTGAGTCACTGGGATTATTGGAGGCACAAGCCAGCTGCCTGGCTGTATTCTGCAGTATTTTTCTATGAGTTCACCCCATCTGCACATTTACAAGGGAAAGCAGGTGACTTGCACATGGGAGATGGAAGTGGAAACCATGGGATGGGGGTCTGTGCTTTTCTTCCCTGACAGACACAACCGCCTCCTGACTTCTGACCTTCCCCCTAAAGACCCAGATACCGCCAGGAAGCCAAGGAGGCCTTTCTGTAGGAGGGACAGCTACTTGTGCTGGTCACTCTGGGGAAAGGACTTCATGGCTGCTTCTACTGACCCCAGTTGGGGTCTGTGTGTCACTATGTCCAATGCTCACAGAGGGTCCCTGAAGAACAGAAGACTCAATGTCCTGCCAGCCTCCCCAGTTCCCCTAGTCTGTGGTAAGTACAACCTCCCCAGACCCAGAAAGGGACCTGTGAGGTGTAGGTCAGCCTGTTCCCCATGAAGGCCAGCAGTGCCCAAGAATCAACAGAGGCCCTGGGAAAAAAGACAGGTTTTTTCCATGTACCAGAAATGGATAAACACACAAGGAGGGGACGGGGCCTGAGGCCCCAGGGCAGCTGGCCCTCCTGTCTGGCTCACCCCGGGCTTGGAAACTGCTCCTGCTGACCCCACAAAGCAGAGCAGGAGCTCGTTTGCTGCCAGTTACCACCAGGATACAGAGCAGAGCATGCGCCTGCCTTCTATCTATGTATTTGTTTCTAACTATAAATTCTTTGTGGAGGGAAAACCCAAAACGTTTTAGAAATACTCCCCCCACAGAGGTGTTGAAACTTCCTTCCTGTTTTTGTATTATTTGCTTTTCCGTAAGAGCACAATTGACCCACTGGATTAGGAAAATAACTGGGGGAGGGACCAGGGTATATGACAGACTGAACAGACCTGAGGGACATCAACCAAAGGCAAAGCATGGGACGTCCTTGCCTGGCTCAGAGTGAGCTCGTTTCTGGAGTGCTGTGCTGCGCTCCCTTGGCAGGAGTTTACAGACTCTGTTTTTCGGGTGGCTTTGTTGCAGGGTGAAGGGTGAAGACAGGGAGGCCACTGCATACTGGTGAGGAGCACATGGGCATTTACTTCCATTCAACTCTCAACCTACCTAAATTGTTGTATTTTTTATTTATACATTTGTTTATTTTGAGACAGTCTAGCTGGCCCTGAACTTGGAGGGTCAAGTGATCCTCCTGCTTCAGCCTGGGATGTGAGGCGAATGCTACCACACCCCACTCACAGTATTTCCTAAGGGCAGGTAACAGTGCACCGCTGAGGATGAGACCCAAGAATACCACCATTATGGTCTGCATGGACTCCTCACACTTCCGGAGCCTGAGCTAAGCCTCAGGTATAAATGTTGCCACCTGCCTCGTGCCCAAGGGCCCCTCAGCCCGCCCTCCTGGTATCTCCTTTAAGACACCTACTCATTAGCCCGCATCTGGTTCAGCTCCCTGGCCCCAAGCCCAGGACACAGCCTCACTGCCAGGTGGTCTGCGGACTCCAGGCTTCAAGAGTGCTCGGGGCCACAGCAGGTATGGGGGCCATGGAAAAGTTTTCATGAAGAAAAGGAAAGCACCCACCCCACCGTGCCTCAATCATCCAGGCTCTCCTTCTGACTGCTGAGGTTTCTACTAGCACTGCATAATCTATATATTTATTATTTACTATTACTCGATATATACATGTAATTATTATTTTATATATACATATTATTACCTTTATATATGTACTTACAGTAGTGCTGGCCCTAGGACTTGAGCTCAGAGCCTAGGCACTGTTCTTGAGCTTTTTTCTCAAGGCTAGCACTCTACCACCTGAGCCACAGCTCTACTTCCAGTTTTGTTTTTGGTTTTTGGTGCTCAATTTCTGTCCCTAGTTGGCCTTAAACTGGGATTCTCAAATCTGAGCCTCTTAAGTAGCTAGGATTACAGGCGTGAGCCACCAGTGCCTGGCACAGCACATTCTATTTTTATACCTCAGAATCCATTCGAGCACCTGCCTGTTTCAGTGAGGTCCCTGGACAGGCGCCCCATCTGCTGAAAGCTGCTCAAAACCGGCTAAGGCAGAAACCCCTAGGGAACGGGACCACCACCACCACCACCACCACCACCACCACCACCACCACCACCACCACCACGGGCCATTTTTCAAGCTGCCAAGTCTCCTTTGAGTTATTTAACCTTATTTCCAAAGGCTTCTGTCGCTAGGCACACCAATACGGGCAGAAAGCCCTTCTCAAGTCAGGCTTTCTTCTGGCGCCGCAGCTGCAGCAGAGAACAAAACAGGCCAAATTTCTGCCTTTGGGTACCTTACAATGGGAAATGTGTTTAAATGCTGTCTTTGTGTGTGCAATTTTTTTTTTTTAAAAAGAAGGCACACGAGAGTAAGGGCAGCATAGCAGTAAGGATTGAAGGCCCGAGGAGTGGGGGAGACTGGGGTTTGACGCTTCCCACGCGGCCTGAAGACCCCAGGTAGTCTTGGTTCCTCGTTTGTAAAAGGGAGAGAACCACAAGGAGGCTGGACAAAGCACAAACTCAGCATTCCCACAGAGCTGGTGAGCCAGGAAATTTCCACACTCATTTTCTTGTCCATACTATTCAACCCTGGCTTCTCCACATAAGAAATCTCACTCGTTTACATCAATGTTTGGCTGGTCTTCAGGAGAAAGCCAACATCTGACAATGCCCAGGCTTGCCTTTTTGGCCACCCACAGGACTAATTATAACAACATTGTCTAAATGAAAAGCTGTTTCCTGTGACTAGCATGAGGCTTGACTAGGGATGTGCACGTGGTGAGCTATGCACTCAGTCCATCTAGCTTTTCATAGCCCTCTGTGCAAGAAAAGTACCCGAAGATTCGAGGTAATGGGTGCCTGTCCCCAGAAGCCCAGTCTAGGGACGACAGACTGTAGCTGAGTTCACAGTGATCAAGACCCAAGGAGAGGCTCAGCAAGACTGGGGGATGGCTCTGGAGATGAGTGGGGACCAGTCAGTTCAACCTCTGGTCTTAGAAGTGTGGTGAAGGGAGAAGCAGAGGGCAGATTACTACGATGGCCACGGAATCTCTGCCGGAGCCTGGAATGGCCAGGTCATGAGACGGGTGGAGGTGGAGAGACCACATTGCTGGTGAGCACAGGCCCAGAGAGTAGCTGATAAGCAACAAAGCAGACACTGAGCAAACAAGACCATTTCTTAGCAGGACTTCCAAGTTCTGTGTGCCCAAGGGTCCTGGGGTCAAAGCCAATCTGGTGATTACCAGGCCATCACTTATGAAGGGCTCATTCTGTACTGAGGACAAGTGCTTTTGAGATTCAAGCCCAGGACCCCAGTTGAACAGTGCTGTCAGCCCATTTCGAGATGGGGAAGCTGAGCCCTCCGACTGGGAGGTGTCCTTACCGATGCTGTGTCTCCGGGCGGTAGTAGTAGTCCACAGGGGTGTCCAGTCGGGAGAAGATGGGCGGGGGGATATAGAGCGGCACGTCCCGCTGGAAGAAGGCCTGCTTCTCGGGCTTGAGCAGAAGCAGCTTGTCATACATTGACACGTGCTTGTCACCCTCTTCCGTGTGCACAGCCAAGTACTGGAAGTCAGACATTCCTGGAAAGAGAGGCGGACAGATGGCACCACAAGGACACCTGCCCAGGAACAGGCAGCTGCCGTGCCAGCACCTGGCCTCTCAGGGAAGCACGAAGCCAGCGGCGCATCGATGGGCGTGGAGACAAAATCAGCACCAACAACTCTGGAGCAAACTAGCTGGGTGCCCTCCAGGCTGCTTTTGAAAAAATGCCTGGGGGGGGGAGGAGCAGGGGTGTGACAGGACAGCGAGGATGAAGTCCAAGGCAGCCTGCGTATAGCACCACCTGGGCCTGGCCACACACAGCTTGAGATGGATCATGCTCCAGGGCCACAGAGAGCAGGGAGCTACCATATGTAATATGTGAGGACCCACTGGGCTGCTCAGTTCCAGAACGGACAGCCCTCGCTGGTAAGTGCACCACTGACCAGGGTGACGGGCACCGCTGACCAGCCAAGGGTAGGGCCAGTTTTCTTCACTCGCCCTTTCCCCCGTCTCTCCGGTTTCCTTTTCCATTCTCAGTTCTTAGTCTCTTCCAATTCTGTCTTAAAACAGGAACTGTAACTATGGGCATGTCTAAGTCTAGTTGGTAATGTATAAAGGCCTCCCCTGGGCCTGGGCCTGTTCCTGGCACAACACTGTCTCAAGGGCCTGCTCAGGGACTGCCATAAGATAAGCTACTTCCCCAAAGAAACATAGGGCTCAGGCAGGCCACATTTCAAAGTCCATACTGTTTTCTACCCTGCCTCTTGGCCCAGATCTTCCTGTCTCCTCCCTGACGTGCCCTGTAAGTAGCAAACCTGACTGTAAACCAACACCAAAGAAGGCAGGCAGTTCGGAGGAGCATGAGGGGAGTGGGGCTGAGTCAGCTAGCAAGGCTCAAGAAGAGGCTTAGTTTCCAGTTAACACTGAAGAGAAAGCCGGGTGCCAGTGGCTCAAGCCTGTAATCCTAGCTACTCAGGAGGCTGAGATCTCAGGATCACAGTTCAAAGTCAGCCGGGGTAGAAAAGTCCCTGAGACAGTTATTTCCAATTAACCACCAGAAAACCAGAAGTGGCACTATGGCTCAAGTGGCAGAGCACTTGCCTTGAGCTGAAGAGCTGAGGACAGAACCTAGGCCCAGAGTTCAAGCCCCACGACTGACCAAAAAAAAGACAAGAAAGGCTGGGCATGGCTGCTCACTTCTCTAATCCTGGTGACTCCAGCCACCAATGAATGGGAGGGTCACTTAAGCCTAGAAGTTCAGACTAGCCTGAACTACACAGCTAGACCCTTCTCAAAACAAAAACAGCAAAACAACCCAAAAAGATAAGGAGGGTTCTAAAACCTAGGGGAAACCAAATGCCCAACAATTTGATCTGGCTGCACATAATGGCTTTGCTGTCTCACGGAACTCTGGATTTTGGCTTCTCGTAAGGAAGCAGAAGGTTATGCAGCAGGGCACACACACAGGATGCGTGCTTCCAGGATGGGGCTTCTGCTCTGTGGTCCCTATAGCCCTGACCTGGGCACATCCTAGCTACTTTCCTGGTACAGAGGACCCAGTGTTTGCATCTACAGCAGGCCTTAAAATAACCCTACACCACACTAGGTTTCTCAGATACCCTGAAATTTGTAAATGGTGGAGACGATGCCAAGGATCTCCATGTTGAATGAGGCCTCGGGGCAGGCTTCAGCCGCCTGCTCCCCTCTGCGCCGCCTTGTCCTTTTCCTGATCCGAAGCAGTAAGCTGCTGGTACTGAAGCGGTTGGCACACACTGGGTGGCAGTATGGGTCCTTGGGCCGGAAGTACAGCTCCAGTCTCTTGGTGGGGTCTGTGTAGATCTGCAGCATGACCACAGGAGACAGAAGAGCACTGAGCAGCTAACATCCAACAGGGTGGAGCTCCTCCCTCCACAAAACCCTTTTGTAGCCAAGGAAGGGCCAGGAGGTCATGTTCCATTCTGAGGTTTTCCTTTTGTGCCTATCTGGGGGCCTGAACTCAGGGGGGGCCTCTCTCGCTTGGTTTTTGACTCAAGGTTGGCACTCTACTTACCATTTGAGCCAGATTACCATTTCCAGTCTTCTACTGATTAACTGTGGAGATAAGAGTCTCATGGACTTTTTCTGTGTGGTCTGGCTTGGAACTGTTGATCTCAACTTCTGAGCTAGCATTACAGACATGAGCCACCAGCATCCAGCCATTCTGAGTTCTTTATTGACCCCCAAAGACTCACTTTTTAAATCCAGTCTCTCCATGCTTATTCTCATAAAATGATGACAAAATCCTGACAAATGAGGACAAATAGTCTCCTTCAGAGTTCTATCCATGAAGTAAAATACTGTTAGTATTCACAACCTCATGAATGTGACTGAGGCATCTATATTAGGAGTGGACAGGAAGTAACATTTATTAAGTCTATATGAATGTTTTCCCTTGAGAGCAGTTATCTTACAAAAACTAAGTGTAGCAGGTATATTAGATGCTTGTGAAAGGTGATTAAAAATTAAAATTGCGCCTGGCGCCGGTGGCTCACACCTGTAATCCTAACTACTCAGGAGGCTGAGATCTGAGGATCGAGGTTCAAAGCCAGCCCGGGCAGGAAAGTCCATGAGATTCATCTCCAATTAACCAGCAGAAAACAGGAGGTGGCGCCGTGGTTCAAGTGGTTGAGCTGAAGAGCTGAGGGACGGCGCCCAGGCCCAGAGTTCAAGGCCCATGACCGACAAAAACAAAACAAAGCAAAACAAAACACAAAAACCACTGAAGTGTGTAGCCACTTTTAACCCTGAGGGACGATGCGGCACCCTCGGCTCACATCTGGAGAGCCGCCGCCCCCCCCCCACGACCACCCCCGACCCTTCCCACTCAATCCCGCCACCCCCCAATCCCCCCCCAGCGCCAGCCGATCCCATTCCAGTGAAAGCAAAGCCCCGCCCACGGCCCGCCCACCCCCGTTACCAAGGCAACCCAGGCTCTCTGGAGACCACGCCCCCGTCGGATAGCCACGCCCCCTGCTCGAGGCCCCTCCCCGCCGCCCCGCAAACGCCCCGCTCCTTACCCGGGAGACGCTCTCCTCACCGCCCAGCGTGCGCAGCATCTTCCCCACGTCGCGCACCGCGCCCGGGTACTCCACGCACACCAGCCGTCGCTCCCGCTGCAGCTCCACCGGCACCGCGGCCCGCGGCGCCGCGTCGTTCGCCGCCATCCCTACCCGCTTGGCGGGGCCCGCCACAGTCCGTCCCTCAGAGCACCCCCGGAGGCCTCGCCGCAAAGGTTCCGCGAAGGAATCGTTCCGGACCCCCTCCCCGTCCGCCCTAAATCCCTGGGCTCGGCTAGACTCGAAGCCTCCGGGGACCAGGCGCCCGAGGAGGCCGCACGGCCTCGAGGTAAACGACACCGTGTTCTCGACTTTTCGTTTAAAATGAAGAGGGCTGGACAAAGGCGTGGGACCAGGCTTCTCTTTTCCACCCAGCGAGACTCTAGCCAATGAGGAGCTCGGAGGAGGCCAGGTCCCTAGGTAGCAGCCAATACGAAGACAGGAGTTGGGGGCCCTCCTAGCTTCCGGTGGTTTCGCCCAATGAGGGTTTGAGAGCGGGACAGAGTCCGACTTCCGGCCCGCCTCCTAGCTGGCGGAAGGGCTTAATGGTGAATTGGTGTCTGGTGTCTGGGGTCAGGTCTGCGGGGCTCCGGCCTCCGGAGCAGGCTTCTGAGCTGCAGTTTGGGAGTTCGTGTGTGGAAATCGCCGGAGCAAGGGATTTGTTCGCCACATGCCACACACACCCCCAACAGAAGACCCCAGAGGGTCACGCGCCGGAGTGGGACCGGGGGCAGGCGTCCTGGGCCTTGTGTTACACGGGCCTGTGTTAATCGCCGCTGGGGTCCGCGGGCTTGAAGGGTTTTATACTGGGAGACTGTTACCGTTTTATGTTTTTGTGTATGGAAAATGGACCTGAGAGGCGAGAGTGCATTCAAATGAACCGATTGAAATCCAGACAAGAAGGGACTGGATTTGAGGGTGTTAGGAGTTGAAAACCAGTAAGACAAGTGACCCCTTGGATATGGGCACCCAAGCAGTTGAAGGCCCAGAATAAATGGCTGCAAGCTAGGGTGCTGGGAAGGTGGCTCGGTGGTAGACAGCTTGCCTAGCATGTGTGAGGCCCTGAGTCGATTCCTCAGCACCACATACACAGAAATGGCCAGAAGGGGCTCTGTGGCTCAAGTGGTAGAGTACTAACCTTGAGTAAAAGAAGCTCAGGGACAGTGTCCAGGCCCTGAGTTCAAGCCCCAGGACTGGAAAAGACAGCAAAGAAAAAGTCTTGGTAGTCCCTGACCTGCCCAGCAGGGACAAGGGATTGGTGTCAAAAGGCCAAAATCTTCCACACCCAGGGATAAAATTTCCTTGCAAATGTCCTTTTGTTGTTTTCTACTGCCCGAGAAAGCTGATGATTTTTTTCAAAAAGTGCCAAAATGAATAACAGTTGTAAATTACTAAATCAGCATTTTTACATCAGACTCTTGCTGAATGGTGATGAGGCCACTTGCACTGGAGCCTTCAATCCAACTCTAGGTCAGGGCCTGGTCACGGGAAGTCAAGGCTCATCCCGTAGAACAGTGTCACCAAAGTCTACTGATGCCAAGGAGAGGGGCTGTGGGTGAGGGGAAGACAAGAGCCAACCTCAGAGCATCAAACCACTTTTCCTAAGGACTTAGACTAGTGCTGAGACTGGGACTCAGAGTGGCAGGGAGGTCAGAGGCAGGAGCAGGGCAGTGAGGACAGACTGCATGCACAGGCCCAGTTAGGCATCCTACTGTGTGCTGCTAGACTCAAATGACTTCCCTGAGAAAAGACCGTCAGCCCCTGCCGCCCTCCCACCCCCCCAACCCACATCTGAGTCATAGTTAGCAGAGAAGTCAGAAGACTGGTGAGCTCAGTGGTGGTGCATGTGCTTAACGTGTAAGGCCCTGAGTTCGATCCCCATGGTTCCTCAAAACACCTATTGATAACAAATAATGACAGTCCCAGTGTATTTTGCCTGTTTTTCCAGTAATCAGCAATGCCAGGCCCGTTTTCCCATTGGGCACCAGTGCCCTCCTCTAAACCCAGGGAGTAGCAAACTGCATTCTCCACTTAGTCCTTCACAGAGTCAGATCCTCCTTGGGGAGTAGGTTGCCCTGCTGTGAGCACGGAGGTGGTGGTGCCCCCTTTTGTTGTGCCAGCCGAAGTGCTGAGGAAGCTCAGGCCCAGTCTTCAGATGTACCAACATCCAGCCCAACACTGAGCCCCTGTCATCTGATATTCTGAGATGGGGGAGGGGGAGACACACAGCTGTTCTGACCTTTGAGGTGACCCAGAGCAGTGGAGGGGACTGCTGGCTGATAGCAGTGCTAAATCCCACAGGACAAGTGTGGGGAAGCCACCAGACACATCTGGCCATTCTAGTCCCCCTCTGGCCCTCCTGACCAGAGTCTTGAATATCTCCAAATGTGGGGAACACAGATCTTCTTAGCAAGGGAAAGGAAATGGAAAATTGAGGGCTGAAGATCTACTCAGTGCCAAGCACTTGCCTAGCATGAAACACCTGGGTTCAGTCTCAAACGCTGCAGAAACAATTCTTTGGAGCCCAGAATCTGACATTTCCTTAGGTGGTGTGGCGGGTCTGTGGGGCATACAGTGGGTATTTAATGTTCTCTCTTCCTACTGGACTCTGCACCCCACATTCCAGGAAAGATGTAGTGTTCAATTATAGCCACAAGATGGCGACAGAGTACACAGGCAACACCTCTACCTGTGTTCACCCTGGAAGGGAGTGGAGGTGAGGAAGGGGACTAATAGGATTTAAGCATCAGGTTCCCAGGTCCCTTGTCGTTGCATTCACATGGGAATGTTTTTGGTGGGGTTTTGTGATGCTTGAACTCAGGACCAAGGCTCTGTCCCTCAAAGCTGACACTACCACTTGGAGCCACAGCACTGCTTCTAGTTTTCTGGTGGTTAATTAGAGATAAAAGTCTCACAGACTTTCCAGCCTGGGCTGGCTTTGAATCGTAATCCTCAGATCTCAAGCTCCTGAGTAGCTAGGATTATAGGCATAAGCCACCGGCACCTCTCCTGGGAATATGTTTGTTTGTTTGTTTTCCAGTCTTGGGGCTTGAACTCGGGGCCTAGATACTAACCCTCAGCTCTTCAGCACAAGGCTAGAGCTCTACCACTTGAGCCACAGCACCACTGCCGGTTTTTCTACTTATGTGGTGCTGAGGAATCAAACCCAGGGCCTCATGCATGTAAGGCAAGCACTCTACCACTGAGCCTCCTTCCCAGCCCCCTGGAAATAGAATCTTAAGGACTTTTCTTTCTTTTTTTTTTTTTTTTTGTCGGTCATGGGGCTTGAACTCTGGGGCTGGACATTGTCCCTCAGCTCTTCAGCTCAAGGTCAGCACTCTATTACTTGAGCCTCAGTGCTACTTCCTGTTTTCCGGTGGTTTATTGAAGATAAGAAGCTCACAGACTTTCCTGCCCAGGCTGGCTTTGAACTGCTATTCTGAGATCTCAGTCTCCTGAGTAGCTAGGATTACAGATGTGAGCCACCAGCCAGCAGTTTCTTAAGGACTTTTCTACCCAGCTGGCTTTGAACCACAACCCTTTAGGTCTCAGCTTCCTCAGTAGCTTGGATTACAAGCGTGAGCCCCTAGTGCCTAGCTTGCACAAGGGATCATAATAAGAGGAAGTGTGCTTGACTGCTTTTAGTTTAGATTCATGGAATGCATGGGCGTGGCTCACATCACTTCCCTACGTGGTAAATTTGTTGGCTCCCGATTTGTTTTTGGTTTTTGGTGTTAATATTTTCCCACCTTAATTACAAACTTTCCAATTTCTCTTCTTAATTTTGTCAATGTCAGCTTTGTTTCAGATGTATATGAGGTCATATGAATTTGAAAATCTTACATATTCCTGGTAAATGGCCTTTTAGTTATCATGGGACTTCCTCTTTATCTCTGCTACAGCTTAAATTCTGTGATTAGTATAGCCACAACACATTTGTCTCTGTTTCCATATTAGGGCATGGGGTGATAGTACAGATTGAACTAAGGACCTTGTGTTTATAAGGCAAGCATTCTACCACCTCCAGCCCCCGTTTGCACTGGTTATTGAGTATATGTTGTTATTGTGTATATGTTGTAAGCTCTTGTTCACCTTTCTTGCTCATAACAGGTGCTCTACAACTTGAGCCATGCCTCCAGTCTGGCACTTTGTTTGTTAATTGGAGATGGAGTCTTGCAGACCATTCTGCCTGGGCTGCCTTTGGTTTTTGTTTTTGTTTTTGTTTATACATATGTTTTGCCAATCCTGGGCCTTGAACTCAGGGCCTGGGCACTGTCTCTTTTGCTCAAGGCTAGCACTCTACCACTTGAGCCACAGCACCACTTCTGGCTTTTTCTGTTTATGTGGTACTGAGGAATCAAACCCAGGGTTTCATGCATGCTAGGCAAGCATGCTACCATTAAGCCACATTCCCAGACGTAGTTTGGTTATTTTTGAGGTAGGGTCTCATTTTATGCCCAATCCTCCTACTTGTGCTTCCCATGTTACTAGGAATGACAGGTGTCATTGTACCCAGCCTTTATGCCTTTTCCCATTGCTGGGATAACAAAGATAAGAATCGCTTGGACTTTCTGCCCACGCTTACCTCAAACCAGAATCCTTCTGCTCTCCACCTCCCAAGGAACTAGGATTACAGGCATGAGCCACAGGTGCTTTGTTGATCAGTTTTGTTTTTTCCTCTCTGGAGACACTTAGTTATAAGCCATATATAATATATCTATGTATGTATCTATAGATATATAGATGTTATATATATGTTCATTCCTCATCTTGCTCTAAAAAGTCAACAGCTAATCCACAACTGGTTTTATGATTCTATTTGTTCTGTAATAAATACTTGCTTTTATTGGCCTCCCTTGGCGACATAATATGACTCCTTGGTCTATTAAATTCAACTATCAATCAGTTGACCACAAATGGCAGCTTTACTGGACACTCCCACCCTAGCCTTCCCCTTTCCACTTGGCAATAAGTCCTGGAAAAGGCTCCAAATCAATTCACAGAGCACTTCCTCATTTCTTCCACAGAGGCGCACTGTCCCCAGTGCACTGGCCATGATTTATTTAGCCAGCCTTCTTGGATGGACCCTTAGGTTGTTTCCAAACCTTTCTAGCACAAACACTGTTGCAGTGTGGGAAATCCGGAAGGTGTGGGGAAGGGGGGGTGAGGGGAGTGGAGGAAGGGTGAGTGCACCCGTGATTTTGATAGACCTTACTAGCTGTCTTTCTGCTCTAGCGAGGCCCAAAGGCATCTGTGAGCTATTCCACGCCCAGCCTGCCAGAGGGCTCTCCTTCCTTTGCAGGGGCTCAACACCACTGCCACCACAAAGCAACAGCGGCCTTCCCCT